CATATAGCTAGCACCTCATTGCAATAACGTCAATAGCAAAGCAAAGAACCATAATGGAATCAGTTAAATGATATTACGTCGTAACCTCTATTGTTGCACCTCAATTGTGCAATTGAAACTGAAACAACCAACATACCTTAAAGTTTTACTTGGGCCCGAATATTGTGGACAGGCTGTTTGGTCAAGAGCGTCTTTATTCCATTTTTTAATTCTTTTAATGAACGATCGCGAAATGCGATACATCTACTGACCGCAAATTATGTTTTCACGTAAGATGTGAAGTAAAAAGGAAAGGCTATAGGGTCCATACTTTTTATACCATACATTGCGTTAACGCAATAAAATGTGTAAAAAGTAAAGGCTATAATCCTTACCTTTTATACCATATATTGCGTTGACGCAAAATGTGATATAAAAAGTAAAGGCTTTAGGGTCCTTACTTTTTATGCCATATAATGTGTTAACGCAAATTGTTGTTCGAGTTAATGTACCACATTTTGCGATCTATCAAATGTAACGATCGTATTAAACTGTCACTGTTCTTTTACCAGGTTTTGCGTTATTGCAAACTGTGATATCAAAAGTATGGGCTGTAACCTTTACTTTTGAAACCATAATTTGCAATAACGCAAAACCTCTTAAAAGAAAAGTAAGACATTTTTAAACCGGAGAACGAACCTCGCAAAATGTGATACATCTACTAGTGCCATATATAAATAGCGTTCACGCAATATATCGTATAAAAACTAAAGTCTACTTACAGTCTTGCTTTTGAGACCACAGTTTGCAAGAACGCAAAACCTAGTAAAAGAACAGTGACAGTTTTATACGATTTTTACATTTGATAGAACGCAAATTGTGCGTACCCGTGGCATACCAGTTGTGAAGAAACACCCTGCAGTCTTCCACCCATTTTAGCTGAGGTCCTACTACTAAAGTGACGGGTAAAGGGACTGATCAAGAACGCCAGCATCTACAGCTGACGGGCTCATTTCATTTATTCCATTCTGTTTTCCTCTCAGTTATAGCCAATTGAGAACAAGTTTCTAAACGTAATTGTGTGTAGGTAGTTATGTCAACGATTAAATTTTTAACGCGGAATATGGGACTTTTGGTCTGACAATGAAAGCCATGTTTCGCGATCGGATTCTTATAGCAAAAGATGGAATTTCGGTGTAAAACGCATTTTGCGATGTTTCAATCTGTGTCTAATTAATTAAAGCCATATTTTGAGATAAAATATTTAACGCGAAATATGGGATTCTTGTGTAAAACGTATTTTGCGATGTTGCAAACTACGACTGGGATCAATGCAGCTTACTCCGAAAACGAACCGTTAACTGTACCATGGTTCGATAACATCCCGGTATATGTCATCGGTGCGGGGTGCCATGCCCAAGCTGCAGAAAGGAACTCGCTTCTGAATTACCCTCTGAGGTGTCCACAGCCCGGGTTATTTTGAGCTTTGATGACATCCACAAGAACCAAAACGCGGGCGAGAATGAGAATGCTGATAAGAACGATGACGAACGTGGTAATGAGCAAGGTGGTAAAGCACTCACGGAACCCGAGTATTGCCCTGCAAGTCCTCAGATGCGAATGCAGTTAAGATCAAGGAAAAGGAAGCATAATGCCTCCAACTAAGTTGGTTCAAACAGTTCTTGTTATATCTCGATAAAAACACGTTCAAACGCTTTTTTTACGTTAAAATACTATGCGAATCAAAAAGGTTATTTAAAAACCATGAAAACCAATAACAGCGTGATTATTTCAGCTGATTTTGTCATAATCAACGAAATATCTAAGGAATACACTGCATACAAACTAAACAACGTTGATCAAATAGTTCTCTAAAGAACGCCGATATAACCAAATGTGGATTGAGAACTCGGAACCTGCGATTACTGTAATTACTAGATCGATACTGAAAAGTAATACTTACGCATGAAGGTTTATAATGTGGCTGCTAAGAAGGGCTTTTTGCTTGGGCCGAACAGAATGGCATCATCTCCGTTCTGTGCCGCGAACTGCTCCAGTGCGATGAGCCGTAGCTCGTATCATCTGGAGTTCTTCTCGTCCAGAGCCTGACTCTCAATTTTGGCTGCGAGTCTCGCTCCAACAGCAAGATTTGGCGAAATTAGCCCCGAGATATCTACTTCGCGGCCACAACTATTTAAATACCGCTCCAAATTTGGGCTTCGTCCCTTTTTTTTTTTTGTTTTTGGCCATGACCAGTTTCACCGAAGGCGAGATGCATGTGTAGTAAAGCTAAAGAAAGCGTGACCTTGGTGCATTGAAACGTGACCTGTCATCCTAGGCAACATTTAGAGAAGCACTTTTATTTAGCAATAAAGGTAGATCAGTGTAATCAGGACTAGAATGTGTGCGAGTCTCTCTTCGTTGAGGACCCAAAAACCGGCCAAGTCTAGAATGAGAGAAGCAGTCGGCACTTATCTGTTGGCCACGAAACTTTCCCTGTTGTAACACATATAATTGATAACTATAGAAAAAAGATATTAAAAATAACTTTCACGAATCGAGATATTCGATTGGCTAATCTCGTAGGATTTCTACAGCACCCTGTGGTGTTTAGCTACGTATTAACTACAAGAGGATAATCATAAATTATTATTTAGAGCGGATGTATGGTATTTTCTCCACTAGATGCCAACCCCGATGAAAAACCAGCCTCATTTTAGAACACAAGGATAAAACTACTAAATTTAAAGTTACTTCTAAGATTATCAAATTGTTAGCCAATCGTTTCTTCTCGTGATAGATAACAAAAGATAAGCTTCAACATGCGACTGAATGTTTCAGATTTCTAATTATAACCTTGGTTGAAGGAAAGAGACGTGTTCTCGGGTAACAAAGTTGTAAAGGTGGTTTTAACATATAGTCTTGGATAGCACATCAGATAAAGACTCGCTTTAAGCCTTTGGAAAAGTCTGAGGAGATCTAACTTGTTATAAAGTAAAAGGGCCACAGAATACATCTGTGAAAGATGTCATTAGCCGTAACATAGCTTAGCATATTATAGAACATGGGCATGCTACGCATGCAAGAGCTATTTTTTGGATGGGTATTTGATAATGGAAACTAACTTATGTTTGCATTTTTTTGAAAGAAAAATAGCATCTACTTTCAAAAGATATCAGTCAGTATAAGTAATGTTCAATTGAAAACAAAAAAAAAACTCTCCAATCTAGAAAAAACTCAGCTACACGTATTTTATGGTCTATTGCAACTGGTGTCTAAATACTTGTGAGCAAAAATAAATTGCATTGTTGCAACGCTTTCTGTAATCTCCTTCACAGCTGAGACCAAACAACGGCCTGCTCGCAGGCTAAGACTATGATTACTGCAGTTCCTTCGATAAAGACAAAGTCAAAATCATCCAGTTACACTGAGCTACTTGGCTCAAAAATACTCTTCAACTTATTTTTGGTTTATTTGGACTGGATACAGTTATCATACTGTAGTCTTTCTACAGAAAGAACATTTTTTTTTCGTGAAGTCCGATCGTCTGGATGAGAGTACAATACTAAAAGGATTGTTCTCGGTGACGATGACTGATCTCTGATAAACCTGAGCGGGGACTCTGGTGATTACTTCCACTCAAAGTGTCGAAACGACAGTAATTTCCACACTCAGAAAACAGTCTTTTTTAGGACTTCCCTCACCTGGACGATCAGATTAGACGATTGAATGTTCCGAGGATGAAATACAATTAATGATCTCTGCAGAGCTGCAGCCAAGAAAATTTCAAAATAGAAGCTCTTCCCCTCGTCCTTTCTGTAAAATTTATATGGTCCTCCGTTAGAAATCAGTAGTGCTTAGAATTTCAGAACTTTCTTATTTGCTCGTTACATCCTGGATTTTCAGGACACATGTTTACAAGAGCGAGCAAATTTGAATTCAGAATACTTCATATTCAGATTCAAGGTCAAACTTTAAAGCCAGCAACTTTATATTTGTAGAGTTTTATTCCAAGTGTTTATAATTTTCAAATCATATACGTTCTGCTAGAAAGCAGGTCCTCGCCTACCCTCCTTCCAGCCTCATTTGTAGCAATCACTGTAAATAGTATTCCACACTCGTTTACACAAACAGGAATACTCAGGAATAAGAAAGATGGTTAGTTTTGAGCTGGTAAAGAAATATAGAAAGATATTTTTCGTCTTATTACGAGCGAGGGACAAAGAAAACATTCCGAGTCCCCATGAGGAATCGACCCTAAGACCTTCGAATTTCGCGCCCCGATGCTCATCCACTCAGCCTCAGAGGCTCTTTCCTGAGCAAGAGACACTCGTGACAAGACGAAAAACATCTTTCTATATTCCTTTACCGAGCTCAAAACTTATCATCTTTCTTACTCTTTACAAAACATGACGCTATCGACATTAAGGTGACTGGTTGCAGAATTTCTACAATATCCATTTACTGAGTGGTTGCAGATTACCTCTGCATCTTTCCATGGTTGACTCTTAACACATAGTTTTTTACAGACATGCTCAATCTTGCAGGGGAAAATAAGATTTTTTAATCTTTTTAAGATTTTCTCCGCAAAATTTGATTAATTTTGGTATTTTTCCTAAACGTGCAGAGGAGAACTATTGATTTATCAAAAATAGGCTATTTTGGAAAACAAAATAGTTTGGGAAGCGTTTTAATCTATCACATCTATATTTCGAGTTAAATTTAGTCGCTGTATCAGCGATTGTAGGTACGCATCCACTCCAATTTGAGTTGTTTTTTCATTACTGGTGACACCTGAGAGCGCATATAGATCAATTTTTTCAAATGATTACGTCTAAGGTATGGATGACCGCTAGTGCGTCCAGCCGTGTCTTCTCGGGGAGGAACGAAAAAGACTGGACTCGAGAGAGCGGCGGAAATCGAGCTCAGGAGTGGGTGTGATTATTCAATTCACGGGTTGTTTTACAAGTTACTGTTCCTCAGAGTCGGTAAATTTGTTATTTTTTTGTCCTCGACCAAGAATGGAAGAACTAAGAACCAAGTACATTCTTCTTCGTGATAATGACTTTTGCCGTCGTGCTGGCCTTACAACGCACGTTAGCCAACTACTACGAGGCGAACTATTAGAAGGTGTTCCTGAGGTTCAAGATTCAAGTAAAGTAGCTGTTGTTGTATTCTGTACGAAGTCTACGCCAATACAACTACTACGAGGCGAACTATTAGAAGATATTTCCGAGGCTCAAGGCCCTCAAAATTCAATTTCAGTAACTGTGGTTGGAAAGGGAAGTAAAACATTTCGATTCAGGGAACCTTCTGCGATGTATTTGGCGCGACTGCTTGAAGAAGAAGCGAAATTGCTTCTGGCCATTTCTTCCCTTGAATCGAGATACAATACGTTTCAAGATAGAAAGCATCTTTTATTTGGGCGACAACTTTCACCAGGAGGTGAAGTTTATGTGAAAGTGCAAGCAATATCTTCAAAGGAACTTCGTGGTGTCGTACGGTACAAGGGTGAATTACCCCCTTATCTCGGAACATGGTTTGGAGTTCAACTTCTTGTAAGTAAACACTAGGTTGATAACTTTACGGGAACTTCTTTCAGCACCCAGGAGTGTACTGAAAGCATTGAATTTTTAAGGGTTTCTTGTAGTTTGAGTTTGTTGAGTGCAATGTTTGGTTTTAATGTGACTTACTCAAACCTAAAGACTTATGAGTCCTTGTACATAACTTTTCTATTTCATTACTCAGAAAATGATGTACTTTCCAAAAGGTTTTTTACTATCAAGGCTGTGCTCCAGCGACATTTGGTCCCGGGCGACTGAAAAAATATTCCGGTCGCCCAGTCGAGCACTCTGCCTCTTGTGCACCATTCGCCTCTGAGGTGAATCTGACGATTGACTGCTACATTTTTATTTGATTGAATTATAACCGTTTCTGGCAGAAAAATATCCTTTTTGCGCGACTCGTAGTCGAATTGTTCACTTTCGAAGACTTCGAAGTAACTGCCACGTTTCGTTCCACATGATTTCGTACGAACCAGTGATTCAAGGCCATATTAGTGTTTTTATTGTTTTACCCGAAATGTTACTGAAGGACAACATTTAAAGATTGAATAATTATTTAAGCAATAGTTCCTGTCACTTCACCCGTGACCGCATGGATATTGCAAAAATATGCGTTGAACACCGCGATTTTCCTTGAAATAATGAGTGTTAGAAACCTGCAAGCCAGCGAGCCATGCGAACCTAGGGGCCAGCCATGCGAGTCCTGCGAGCCATATTCAAAATGAGAAGAAGCGGCTTAGTAGAAGCATTTACCGTCAGCGGGTGGGTCGAACGCTAATTCGAAACCAGCTTCTGCCACTCTGGAGGCGAGTTTTTAAGAAAGACTTGTCTGAGGGAAGAGTCAACCACATGCAGCAGTCAGTCAACCGACAGAGTTTTGATAACTCTGATTCACTCAAGAGTGAAGCTGTTAAAATTACGCGATTTACTCACCATTCTTGACACCAATGCACGGAGTTGCCCTAGAAGTACTGTTCTCTTTTCTCTTGAATAATTTTCCACGTGGATATCAATGAATGGCAGGAGTCATGGACACCATTCAACTACCCATTCGAGTTGCAGTAGAGCGGCCAGCGGTGGAGCCGTACATTTTTCTCAGAAATTTTTTTACTTAATCTTGAACCTTACTTAATTTTTGGGCTAGATGGCAGAGAACCCGGCCACTCATTTAAATGTCATTGAATAAGAATAGCCTCTATTGTATTAAGCTTCGTTCTTCAAAGCCTCCCGACATAGGTAAATGAGGTGGCCGGGTATTCTGAAATTGAGCATTTTTCATATTTGACGCACCAGCAATAGTTTTGGCAACCGAAGCGAGATTAGGATTTTTCTGGGAATATTTTAATTTCAAGCACTTTTGTGGCTAAATTTAAAATTAATTTCCCAGGGAAAGAGAGAGTACCCTGGGAGCGAGGTTGTACCGTTTATACTTGTCCCAAGGATCATCTCCGCTTTGAAGATGGCGGGCGGCCGGTTCATAACGATAGTTTTCTGATAGTCGGGCGCGAAATAATCGACGACCTTCCAGACCCTGGACCAATCGAAAAAAAAAAAAATTACCCGCAAAAATGGCTCACACCGTGGCTCAAATGGCTCGCTGGCTCGCAGATTTTGCAGACCCGAGATGATCAATGTCTGATTTATTTCAGTGCTTCGATGTATTTGGAAAGTGTAGTGCGTTTATCTTTTATTTCAAACCAAGATTCTTTCTATATGCAAATTTCCGGTAACCCAGCTAAGTTTATCGATCGCTGTGATAAGCGACTTGCGACTACTTTAGGATAATTTAGCGAGAACTGAGCCTACAACGATTTCATATCCAGGTTTGTTTACTTTGGGGCTTTCGAATGAAAGATCTAAGCGGTTTTAAAATATCCAAAGATACACAATAGTCCAGTTTACAGTTGTGTGCTTGGTTGTCAAGCCTTTGAACGGGAGTGAGGCTAGAGATGACCTTGTTATGATACAAACCTTGCTACCTTTCAAATGTAAATCATTTTGTTATCATGCTAACTAGATACAGGTCTCTATCACAACAGGGTCATCTTTAGCCTCACTCTGAATCAAAGGCTTGGCAACTAAGTACACAACTGTAAAATAGCCTATTGCCATTTTGAAAAATAAGAGAAGCTCACCGCTAAAAATAGCAACACACTCTGGCGCGTGGTGTGAAAGTTTTAATTTTCAGAAAAAGATTTAAAATATAGCTATTCCACAATCACACAGCGTTCCTGCAAGTATTGGAAGAAAATGAAAACCTTTCGCTTTCAAAGCGCCACGATTTAGTACAGATTACCTTTCCCGATGGCTCTCATGGCTAGACTAACAACTCTATTTTTAATTGCACCAGCCTTGTTAGTAAAACGCGTAACGGCGAAACGACCAACGGCGTAACGGCGTAAAGAGAAACCTAGTTACGGAATTTTTTTTAATGTTATTATCTTTTTTTTTGTAATTTGGTTTTTATTTTATTATTTTTAAAATTTTTTTTTTTCTGAAAATGTGAACATAATTATTCGTGATTGGCGGGGTTTTTCCCGCCCCTTGGCCAAAGTTACCGCATTTCCGGAGACACTAGAAAGTACGGGCGCACTTACTCACGCTTCCAGGAGGTCGGTCAGACAGAATGCAACGTCAGAGGGTATGCGGTCAACAACGCGGGCTCTAAAAGTTAGCGTTCCTATTTAAATTCACGACTCCTACACAAGAGTGGGTGTGCAGCTCGAACTAGGAGCCCGAGTATTTAAAGGGACACGGTCACGGTCTGCGCATGCTTGTGTAGCTGATTGAAAAAGTCATCCTGACTTTTTCAAGTTGCATTCACAAATTCAAAATGGCGTCTAGCGGAGGATCCGGACATGGCGGTAAACGCATCAAATCAGAGCAGAAACGAAAGGATGAAGACAGAGGGGAATACAAGAAAGCGTGACTGAGAAACCATAAGCGTATTTATGTGGATGAAAAGACATTTAGGTTGTGGCTGCAGGCAAAATTTGATGCAGGTTATGAGTCTTTCAGTGCGGACAGCGATTTTACTGATAGGGAAATAAAATAATGCCAGAGAGTAGTAAACAACTAGTCATCACCTCTCGGGCTAAAACGTTTTGTGTGCCGCCACCGGATACGAAAACCCAAAAACCCAATGGGAAAAAATGGGAACGTATTCCCCATCCAAATGAAAGCGCACCGACCTCTGGGGGTTAGAGGTAAAACAGCTTAATTACATGCAAGATAAACTTTAACATAAAACTAGAAAAGTTCGACTGGGGAGAGTTTAGATGAATACATTACAGATTTCAAACCTTAAATTCTTTGTCACTGCCACTTACAGCTTAGTTCCGCCGAATGTAAATACATATCTAAGCGGAAAATAATAAGGGCTGACTTTTAAAACCGAGGAAGTCTCTTTTCGTCGAAGGCATTTTCGTATTTCCAGAGTTTTTAAGGAGAAAATTAAGTTTTGAAAATTTTAAGGGGGTGTGCCAAGTTTTTGGAGGTTGTTCTGTGAAAGAAAAGCGGCAAGGAAAACGATGCCTCGAAGCAACAGAACAGGAAATCATCTGTGCGAACGATTCAAAATCTGTGTTTCCGCGGCAAAACCAAGGGCATGCGTATACATTTATTTAGCTCTGTCTGTCGGTCGGTCATGGAGGAGAACGATGATGGTAAGTTTTGGACTTTCATTTTCACTCAGTTAGTTTCCTTTCTTGCTTTCGATCTTTTCAGTCAAAATTTGTTTAGTGCAGTTGCAGGTTTCAGAAATAGAGTAGGTTTTGCGTCCAGGGGCTCGTTTCTCCAAAGTCCCGGTAACTTAACGGGCCCGTAAAGCTGTTCTGTATTCATTCAAGATGGGGATTTCAAAAGTTTTGAAAATGATACAATAAAAATATCAGCAAAAGAAACAAAAAGGACTGGTTTGGGTGCCAGAACCTGCTTTCCTATCCTTTAAATTTTGCTTTTAAAACATGGCTTCGGGCCCGTTAAGTTACCGGGACTTTCGAGAAACAGGCCCCAGCGCGCAATTTTTTAATTCTAACAACTTGCGTTTACGATTTTTATTTTTAATGGATATGCAAGCTCTGGTTAGTTCTTTAAAAGAGAATTTCCATCAAGGTTCAATTTGAAGGTAAGTTTTATTTTATATTATAGTACTCAACGTGAGGCTCCGGGGAATTGTGCTTGTGTCAATTCCCCTTAGAATGAGACAACCCCCACGCAGACATTCTTACTTGTCTCGTCACGCAATCGCCGCGGGTGACGAGCCTAGCCTCAAAAGACCTAACGGATGTGTCCGTAGGGGGCTACGGTTATGTTTCTTCAGCGAACAATTTAGAACTTCTGTTAATGTAACGAAACTGACTTAAATGCATATCTAATGGTCTCCTAACCACCTACGCGGCTCTTACACGGACATTCTTATATTAGTCTTACAATATCGTTCCTCCGCTTCACGATCCTAAGAATAGCCTGTTGTAACTAGAGCTGGCCGCTTACGAGAATTGTTCTCGTAAGCGACCACTAGAAGTGCAGGGGATAGATGGCCGCTTACGGGGGCTTGCTCAGCTAACAATAAATATTGGTATACAAATAAATACCGCGGTATTAAATGACACTTTAGTTTTATGGCGCCTTATACAATCCTTCGATAATGACGATAACTGAACACTATTACAGTACTGTATACTGCAGTACTAGGAATCTACGGATACGGCTTAGAAATTCCTTGCCAGTATATGTTTTATGGTGACACTACAATGCGTCTGCCTTGGCTAGAATCGAAACTTGAGTGCCTTGGCTACAATGTGCTGACAACGTTGTAATCCCAGTCACAAGCGCATATGCTTCGAAATGTAACCGTACGTGCATGACGACAAAACAAACATTGAAATATGATACTGTAATTACTGTAAAATCATTGTGACGAACGGCAATGTAAAATGGTTGATTGATAAAAATAAGATAATGTGCAGAGGTTGTTGGTTTTCTTTCGGGTG